TAGAGAAGATGGCTGGGTGACTCTACCATCTGCTTGGGATTACCTATAATAAATCCAAAATTAAATCCCAACCCAAGTTCATACAACTGCACTAGACTTCAAGATACCATAAGTTCATACTGCATAGATCGGAACAACCAACTGTGTTAAATTTTACGTATCTGTATATGGTAAATGAGCCGCGGTTAACTATGACATAGGTGGACGTTGAAATATTAATCTCAGTTCCCTGCCCCGTGACCATGAGTGCTGTAAAGCGTTCGAAACGTCGGGTCAATTACAAAGTTATCAATATACGCGAGTAAATTCCTGATAAAAACATAGTATTATTTCGGTAAGACTGTAATACTTAATGTAATACTTAACTGTAATACTGCTCCACGCCTTTGGAGTTCTCCCATCGCGTAAGATGCAGTTAAAAACTCGACAGAGCTCCTTTAGCAAGGGTTGACTCCCAGCCCTTAAGAGCTCAGTTGTAACTCCATCTTCTCCAAGGGCTTTTCCATTTTTAAGTTGACCGAGGGCCAGCTCAATCTCCCCAAGGCAGATGTCTGGCAGCTCGTCGGTATAGTGGCGGGTCAGCAAGGCTCTGGGATCATCGCATTTAGGATCAGGTTGTGGCCACATAAGTGATCACATGTGGTCGCATGATGTGGACAGGATGTGGTGGTCACATATGTGTGGCATATAGTTTGCCATAATGGTGTTCCATCTCAGAGATAACCTTTAGGCTTTGACTTTGCCATCATGCGGATGAAGTTTTGCGATGTGACTTCTTCCAAGCTCCCGAACAAAGATTTTGGATCCTTTGTTTCGCTCTTTTGCCGCTTGTATAGCAATTGCATTAGAGCGACGCAGATCCCGCCTCACAGCTTTCCTCACAAGCATGGTTAGTGTCACCTGTTCCAATGGTGATGCTGTTGTTAACTCACGCCTTCTTTTCATAAGCTGAAGTGTCTCATCTTAGAACTACGACTTTCGGTCCGTATGTTGCTTGCCACAAAAACTGTTGCCTCATCCCTTAAGCCCTTAATCACGTTGTTAAGGTCCTCGTCAATATCCAAAGTGGGTCTCAGTGTATCGAATCGGTTTTTAAGTTCTAGATGGAAGCGTTGGGAGGCAGTTACGGTTTGAAACAGATTTGGTCGAATCGTAGACTTCACCAATCGGGACCTTTCAAGCGTAAAATCAATATTCAGATTGCCTCGAACAAGTCGGTGATCGCTTCCGGTATTGAATTTTTTGATCACTGAGACATCTCCGAATATGTGCCTTTTGTCCGTCATGATGAAGTCAATCTCATTTATAGTAGTAAGTATAATCTGGACTGCGCCATATGGGCCACTTCCTTTGTGGCTTCTTTGCGAAAAACGTATTCATCAGAAATAGCCCCTCTTTCTCGAGGAAGTTGACCAGCATTTGCCCCCTGTGATTTCCGCTTCCAAAACCGTGGTGTCCCAAAATCGATTCGACGTCCGTGTGTTTACCCACTTTGGCATTAAAATCCCCCATAACAACATTGTAGTGGGCCTTTGTGGTGTTACTTAAGGTCCTAGAAATGTCTTCATAGAAAGTTTCAACTTCATCATCCGAATGTGGTGCCGAGGTCGGGGCATAAACTTGTACGATCTTCAGAGAGTATCTCTTTGATAACTTAAGTACAAGGTCCACTACCCGTGTCGACACACTGGAGATTTCTACGATGCTGTTAGTGAGGATCCTATGAACGAGGAAACCTACTCCGCCTTGGGATAAGCCGTCTCCCTCCCGATAGTAAAGCAGATAGCCCGATAGCAGGGTCATTGTGTCTTCACCCTCTCTTCGGACTTCACTTAACCCTACAATATGTCATCTTATATTTTCCAGCTCAGCTTCCAGTTCGTAAATGTGTCCGTCTTGCCGCAGAGTCCGTCCATTATACGTCGCCAATTCCAGTTTTTGGTGGTAACCTGTCCTCTCCCGGGGATTCTTCGCACCTCCTGTCCCACCGTTGCCATGACCGCCACCACGGCTTAGAATAATGGGGCTACCGGGAACTGAGGGCCGTATTTTTGTGCTGCTACTCATTGGAGGAGTTGCCCTTAATCGCCATGCTGGGCAAGCGGGTTTGCGATCGCAGTGCCAGACACATCGCACTTGTGACGCTGCTGCCCATCACAGGTCTGGGCATTTGTGGTCTGACGAAGACTGGGATGGTTATGCCGCCATCCATCGGAAGCCTTAAGTTCTCCTTTTTTAAGGCATTTCCCTCTGTCGGCTCGTACGACATCCACGAGATGAAAAGGAGTGAAAGTATTCTAGGCCGCTGCCACACAGCTCATGACCCTTAATTGTATTTACTTCAACTAAAATAATATTAATTAAACATTCACCAAGGTTAATTTCAGCGAGCACCTTTAATCTATCACACAATTTAATTTGTTACTTGACAGTCGGCAACTTAATCGTATAAAACAAAGACGCGTACAGGTTCAAATATAAAAATAAATTATAAATTCTCGTCTCGCTGCCCCGACTTCATTTAGTCCACTTCATTGTTTCTGTAATTAATACTAATTTGCAGTTCCATTGTTATTCTACTCTGCCGTTCTGATTATCAATTTTTTAGCATCGTCAGTCCACCTTCCCTTTGAATGTGGCGGTAACAACAAGAGTTTTAAAGTGTTTTTGAAATTTGAGCTTTATATCTATAACAATTAGTACTGATTGGTAATCAGGAACATTTTTGTTAGTTGAAAATTTTATTGCGTCGAGTCCTTGTCGCATACTCACGTTTGACGCTCAATGAAATTGCGTCAATTGCTAACGTGTTGCAATTAGTGGTATTTTTATTAAAGATTAACGTTGATTTTAATGTTTAGTTTTGTGTGCTGCGGAATGTAGCAGGTGTCACTTTTTTGACGTTTGTATTTGAAATTTCTTTGGTTAGATATTTGCCATTGACGAAGACAGAACAAGCCGTTAAGTAATAAAACGCGATAGATTAAACGTTTGTCAGTGAACACAAACAGTTGATAATCTTACTATTTGAGTACTGTGTAATGACGATTTGAGTGTAATATATCGTAGTCATCAATCTAAAAGAGCTCATCGTGGACTTACACATGTACAAGATTCGCCACTTACTCTTCGGCTTTACGGATCTTTACCTCAGGCACATCGTCACTTTTTTTATAAAAGAGAGGGAAGCGAGCCATGCAGTTCACGTGATGATAAGTGTCAACCGCTGACCATGAACAACTGCAATAAATAATATAGTAAGAGTAAGCCCTTTCCTTGAAGGTTTCTTAGTCGTATCCGCAAAATCGCCGGTGGGAGACGATTCAACAAAGAAATCGTGCGAGGAAGCAAACTCCTAACAGATCACACAGTGGTTGCCCGCTTCATCTAGAAATGGGCGTCACTCATTACTCTTGCCTCTAAAAAGACGTTTCTCGTGTAACATTCTTTGCCCCATGAACTGCGCTGCACGTTTACTCATACGGTAGTTAACCAAGGTTTAGACGAAGCCAGTGTTGGCCGCCAGTGAAACTGGCAACCAGCGCTGGCTTGCTATTTGCCTCGTATAAACATTTCTTCAAGACAAGCCAGCGCTGGTTGCCAGCACTGGCAGGAATAGAGCGCCTGCCTATTTTTCAAGCCAGTGACCTCCGCCCGCGTACCCCGCCACCCCCACGCCAGAATAAATAATTTATAATATAATTATTTAACTAGTGATATTGTACGAATTACATTTTTGATGTATGTAGGTATATGATAAACATTATTTTCAGTTAGTTTAAAGAATCATTAATTTAATACAACGATTTACAAGAATAATCTAGGAATGAAATGAATCCATTTGGCCTTATCTAAACAACAGGGGCCATGCCAGCGTTGGCTTGTCTGAGGACTGGCGCCAGCGTTACTGGATTCGTCTAAACCTTGCTTTACTTCGGTCGCCGAAGTGCATAATGCCTGATTCCTATATTCAAGAAATGTAACGTTTTCCGTAACAATCCGTTTTATTACATTAGAGGTGCATATAGAAGCAATTTATATTACAGATTATTCAATCGACAACTTAAGTTGACTTAAAAAGAAATAAAAAACTTTAGAAGATTCACAACTGGTTTTATAAAAAGTGAGTATGATGCACTTCATTTACTGCAAAACGGCTCATAACAGAGAACAAAGCCTTTTAAACATAGAAACCAGACAGAAATTCTGTCAGTGAGCTTAGTTTTTCCGTGGGTCTCTTAATCACTAATAATATTTTCATTAATTAATTAGAAATCCAAACGTAGCTCTTTCCATTGCTCGCCGAGTGACTAAGATCTGGTAGAGTTGCCGTTATGTCAATCTGTCCGGTTCAATAATTCCTGTTCATTGTCAGAACTCAAAAGTTTACAGGACATGTGCCTCTCCCGTTAATGGGAGAATTGGCCAAAATCACCTTGCCAGATAAGCACATAGGTCCGTATTACCTGACATATCGCACTTTTGACTCTGCTCTTTATCACAGGAAGTAGATGTAAAATACTGACGCTAGACGTAAAATATTCCAATTATTTATAGCGTAAGTAAGCGAAATAGTCAATTACAATTTTAAGTGCTGATTTACCACGTGCTCGGCGGTGAAGGAAAACATCGTGAGGAAATCTGCATGTCTGAGGAATAAGAAAAAAAATATTTCGAAGACATTTGAAGTTCGACAACACGCATTGGGGCAACGCGGCGAACACTTTCTTGCCCTAAAAACCTTCTCAGAAATGAGGGGAGGCCTGTGACTAGTAGTGGGACGTATATAGACTGTAACTTTATAGCGTAAGCTACGTAGTTGTACAGCCATTTATAGGAATCTATTTGAGATCTTCCACATATCCCTTTTCGCCTTTTATAACACCCACAAGACAAAATGGGGTAATGAAATGCTAATGCTGTTAGCACATGCGTCTCAAGAAAATTGTTAGGGATACCATCAATGGCCACAATTTTAAGAACGATTTTTTTTGTTTTAGGTACATTACGACCGCCTGGACTTATTGGTGGTAGCAAACCCAAAGTTGCCACTCCTGCAGTAGTATCAAAGATAGAGCAATACAAGAGAGAGAATCCAACAATCTTCGCTTGGGAAATTCGAGAGCGACTAATATCTGAAGGTAAATTCTTAACAATAAGTAAGAGTCTAATCCTACAAAAGAGCATCTTCCAATGTAGAAGGGATTTGCCGTACAGCCTACTAAAAGTCAACAATTAAATATAAGCCTTCTCTATATATTGCCTTGAGTTTTTTTCAATTACAGGAATTTCACTTGCTTTTTTAATTTATAATTGAGGATAGATGTAGGCACATGTTTATGGGCCACAGTATTCATTTACCGTCAGATCCATCGTGTTTGTCACCCTTATTCTATAAAAAAATTAACTTTTCTATGTCTTCACTTCTATCTTCCTTATGATTGCCTCGTTGGTCTAGTGGTTGTAGTAGTGCGACTGCTGATCATGAGGTCCTGGGTTTGAATCCCGGGTCGGACAAAAAATTCAAATATTGAGTTTTCCCGACAAGAAATTCTGAGTAGCTGCCCGGAGTCAGGAATTTGGCAGTGATTCACCCCCGTGCCTCGGGAAGCACGTTCCGGTTGTGTCGGTTTACCGTCTCATCGAATAATGAGAGTGAAAAAATAGAGAGTACACCGCCAATGGCTAGTCTTCGTTGAGGCTTGCCGCCGCTGCCGAAATTCGGTTTGGAGGACATCATGATTATTTACAGTTGTGGCACTACGTCGAAAATGTGCAAAGATAAGGCAAAGATGTAATAAACATCACGTTTCGTATTGATTGACACTTTTGTCAATGTTAAAAAATATGTTTGCATAAATCAAATCAAGTATATCTTCGTTTTATATTGTCAAAAACTTAATACGCGCAAGGTCAATAATCAATCCATTGTGTTTATGCGATCAGTAAAGATTTAGGGTATAACAGTTTTTAGACGTACTTTAGTTAAAAAGTAGAAAACATCTTTAACCAGGTCGCTTACCGTCATTATACTTTTGGCTACGTGAAAAAAGCTTGTATAAAAAGTTAAATTGCGTAAACGAAATCAATAAAACAGCAAATTCGGACAATGATCTCTTTGTGTACTGTTATTTTTGTAAGAAACATTACCTGTGAAGAAAGAAACTATAAGACAAATTATAATTATCTATACTACATATTGTTACAAGCTTAGGGTTCGTGACAATAGAAACTGCCGATTGAATGACCAAAATTTACACTTTAATTCACTTTACACTAATTAAAACTTAAAACACTAATAATTAACCACACTGATTCACTTTATTTCGCTCCGAAGTTCGCTTGTCTCGCCAAATTCAATACTTGCCCCGATCGCGGCATGCGGTGGGTTTAAATACACTTTTACGCCGCAACATCCAGAATATTCCCGTAGATATGGGCGCCGACTGACCAGACGCAGAAAGTTCGAGTGTGAGGCTTTTAGAAAGCTTAGTTCTTCAATTCGATACTAGATGGCGCTGTTGGCTAAAAGATTAGTCATGTCATTTTCTGGAAAGCTCTCCTCACTCTGTTACCCGACACTAGATGGCGCTAGTGCTAGACGTCAACTTAAGCGCGCAACACTGTCCCCTCCTAATACATGCTCGTCCCGAGCATTATCGGCCCCATAATAACGCGCCAGGCGATCCACATGGACGATCTTAGGAGTCCCTCTTGCGCCTTTCTGTATCCGGTAGGTTACATCGTTGATGCTGGTCATTTCCCTTTGCTGCGGACTGGATTGTGCAACCACACTAGTGAACCTTCGTCGAACCCTTTGTTGTTCATTTTGCGGTCATACCGGGTTTTCATCTTTTCAGAGATTTGCTGGCCCGATTGTCTGACGTGCTCATAAATGTCATTCATTTTGTTCCGCAAGTCATTTGCATAATCGGTTATACTGCGTGGGGCATCAGGTGGTATCCCGGTGATCAGGTCTGCAGGCAGCCGTAATTCTCTTCCAAAGTTTGCGAAAGCTGGTGTCACTGATGTACTTTCGTGAACAGCGCTTCAATATGACAACAAAAACGGTTGTATGTGCTTGTCCCAATCTCGTTGCCGATTGTCTACAACTTTTGCTAGGCACCTCTCCAATGTCTGATTAAATCGTTCTACCATTCCATCAGATTGCGGGTGATAAGAAGTCGTTCTTGTTTTATGAGTACCCATAACTCGGCAAGTTTCCTAGAATATTTGAGACTCAAAATTCCTTCCTTGATCGCTGTGAATTTCTAAACGTACTCCAAAACGACAGAAGATTTCATGAACTAGTTTATCTGCAACTGTTAAACCTTCTTGATTTGGAATGGCGAAGACTTCTGGCCACTTAGTGAAGTAATCCATCACAACCATGAAATACTTGTTACCGCTTTCACTCTCCGGAAACGGCCCCCCCACGTCAATGGCTATTCTCTCCCATGGTGTACCAACATTGTAAAACTTCAATGCACCTCTACTACGAGTGTGAGGTCCCTTTACAGCCGCACAACTTGTACATTTGCGACACCAGTCCTCGACATCGTTTCGACAACAAGGACCCAGTAAAACCGTTCTCGGATCTTCAGTAGAGGACGACCACTTGCAAATGACAACTGTCTCCCCGAACATTTTCCCATTTATGGCACAGAACTCCATCCTGAAGTAGCAGGCTGTCCCATTGGGCCCAATAACTTTTAGTGGTCGAACTCATCGCTGAGACGTCACTCTACTTGGGCTTGGGAGCACTGGCCTTCATCCATTCCAGAATCGGCTTGATGTCCAGATCTTCTCGCTTTGCATGTAGTAAGCTGTCCTTAAACTCGTTGCTGAGGTGGTCTGTCCTGAGCATCCTCACGGATACCACTTCCTTACTCTTTTGCCTAGTACAATGTTTGCAATCTTCAGGACAAGGTTTTCTTGACAATGCATCTGCGTTGCCATGAGATTTCCCGCTGTGATATCTGATAATAAAGTCGTATTCCGGCTGCTGCTGGGCGGTGATATTAGCCGCACTTTCCTTCTGAGATCGTTTACCTTCCCTTTCTAGGGTTCGCTTAGGGCAGCTGGATCGATGATGGCCCCTTTCCTCACAGCCATAGCACCTAGGGCTGTATCCTTTATTGTGGTCGCGAACCGTAACTGCTGCAACCTTCCTAGCGTGAGGGGAACAATGATCCTGTCACCGCCAGGCGGTACCGTTAGCTGCACTACCCTCTCGAGATCGATCAACTTCCCTTTCTATTGTTCGCTTAGGGCAGCTGGATCGAAGATGGCCTCTTTCCCCACAGCCATAGCATCTAGGGCTGTATACTTTGTTGCGGTCGCGAACTGTAGCTGCTGCAACCTCTCTGACGCGATGGGAACGAGGATCCTGCCGCACGGCTTCCACCTCCAGTGCATGGGCCAAGGCGTCCTTAAGCGTCTAATGGTGCCCGAGCCTCACAGCAGCTCTGACTTGTCTGCACCAGGTTCCCTTCAATGAGCGCAGGTACAGACCGGTATACTTTTCTCACCAGCTTCTCCACCTCTAGAGCCCACTGCTGCAGGTTTTCATTGATGCGCTGCACGAGATCTTTAAGCTGCGAACGAAAGACGTGTTCCAGGTGAGCGTCGCCATATATTGCCTTCAATGCCTCAAGGAGTTGCTCATAAGTCACTTCCTCACCGAGAGCTTCCAGAACTGTTAAGACCTGGTCGCGCAGGCCTAGTGTGAGAGCAGTCATGGCCTGACTTTTATTCCAGCCGTTAGCCTTTATAACAGCCTCGAACTGGATTTTGTAGGCTGGCCAGGAAGAAGTCCCGTCGAACGGTGGCACTTTGAACCCACGTAGCGAAGGTGTAGTAGCTACTACGGGAGCTGTAGTTCCATCCCCCAGTTTGAGGTCGTCCAGCGTCTTCTTCACGTCAGCCATCACGTAATCAACCCGACTGTTCACTTGGTCGATTTGGGTTTTAGCTTCCTTGGTTTGGGTTTCAGCTTCCGACAGGCGGTTGTCATGTTGAGCAACCCTATCCTTTACCTCCCTTATCTCTTTCCCGACGTTAGCGCGAATGTCCTTCACGAGGAGCATCTGCTGTTCCTTTCGGCGGGCCTGTTCCTCCTGTCGGCGGGCCTGTTCCTGCAGCATCACCATCAGAGCACCTATGTCAGGTGCTGCAGGTGTAGGAGCTGCTGACGGGCCAGCCTCCGTTACTGGCACTTGGCCCTCTGACGTCTGCGGCGTTTCACCAGCAAATCGTCTCTGGTCCGTCTCCTGCTGGCGTTGACTTCGGGTACGGACACCCTCCATCTTGTCCTTAGGTAAAATCGGCAAGATTTTATCCCACTTCTGACACCAATTGTTACGAGCTTAGCGTTCGTGACAATAAAAACTGCCGATTGAATTACCAAAATTTACACATTAAATCACTTTAGAAAGAAAGAAGAAAGAAAGAAAGCTTCGCTTGTCTCGCCAAATTCAATACTTGCCCCGATCGCGGCATGCGGCGGGTTTAAATACACTTTTACGCCGAAACATCCAGAATATTCCCGTATATACGGGCGCCGACCGACTAGGCGCAGAAAGTTCGAGTGTGAGGGTTCTAGAAAGCTTAGTTCTTCAATTCGATACTAGATGGCGCTGTTGGTTAAAAGATTAGTAATGTTATTTTCTGGAAAGCTCTCCTCACTCTGTTACCCGATACTAGATGGCACTAGTGCCAGACGTCAACTTAGGCACGCAACAATATACATAAAGTGGAAGTGTCTGTCTTTTAATGATCTCTTAAAGCTAGATTGTGAATGTGGTCTCGCTTACATATGTCAAACAAAAAAAATTATAAAAACCCGCGTGATGAATGAAAATATACTTGAAAATATCTTCAAATTTATCAGCCTGTAACAATATGGAAAATCATAAATAGTTCCACAGCTGGATTCATTTATGATTTCTCATATTCTGATAGACAATTTCAGTATCATAGTTGTTTAACTTTAACTCGGTGTCTCATCGTCTATCTTGGTGTTTTACATTACATAAAATGGTTCTACTGTCATGTTTTGAGAGTCATGATATCTTTCTGGTATTTTCCATAGTCCTCTCTTTCAATATTAAGGAGACGGGGCGTAATGAAAAATAAATTC